CAAGTTCCTATAATCCTACAACAGAAACAAAACCTTCTCATAGTATCGTTGTAAGTGCATTAAATAAACTAATTATAATTCTTATAAGATAATTTAAAATGAGATATAAGATTTAAAAGCATATATTATCACTTCATCTTAGTACTACCAAACGCAGAACAAGATTCAAACAAAAAAATTTGTTCCACATAAATGTGGCCCTCAGTGCGTTCAAGGAATATCTTTTACACCTGATGACTTGAGAGGTTATTCACCTCTTTCAATACCATTACTTTGTGGTTGGAACAGACAACTTTGTAAATATCCAAAAGGCAAGAAAATTACATTATATCAAGCTCCATGTGGTGTCAGATTACGAAATATGGAAGAGTTACATCAATATCTTCGCAAAACAGGCAGTCCAATGTCAGTTGATTTATTTGATTTTGATTATTGGGTGCATTGTCTAGCAGAATTTGTCTTGGATAAATGTTTTATCAATATAAAGGTAAATAAAATATTACGATTATTGAGATAATTAATACTTGCTTAGTATTTTATAACTCAATCGTTCTTTTTTTAATTTCAAGGATCTCAGTTATGGTATAGAAAATGTACCAATACCATGTGTTAATGAATTAGATCACACTCAACCAGATACCATTAGATATAGCACTCAGAGAGAACCAACAGAAGGAGTTAATCTTAATTTAGATCCAAATTTCTTGTGTAGCTGTGATTGCGAAGACGATTGCCAAGTATGCTCTTTTTATAATAATTTAAATTATAAGATATCTAATTATATAAATCATTTTATAGGATAAAACAAAATGTCAATGTTGGCAATTAACAATACAAGGTGCTACTCTCGGAGGAAGAGTGCCAAATACATCTGTTGGTTACGTATATAAACGTTTACCAGAGCCAGTTACTACTGGAATTTATGAATGTAATTCTGAATGTAAATGTGCTGTAAAAACTTGCTTGAATAGAGTAGTGCAACATCCATTAACATTAAAATTACAAGTGTTCAAAACAGCTCCTCGGGGCTGGGGCATTCGATGTCTAAACGATATTCCTCTTGGATCTTTTATTTGTATATATGCTGGTAGATTACTTACAGAACAGGTAAAAAATTACAATAAGATATAGTACAAACAGTATAACTTATTTTAAGATTTATCTCTAAGGGAGCTAATGAAGGTGGTAAAAATTATGGAGATGAATACCTAGCAGAATTGGATTATGTGGAAGTAGTGGAAAGTATTAAAGAAGGATATGAAAGCGATGTTCTCGAATCAGAAATGCCATTATCTACCACAGAAGATAAAAAAAAATCTATAACTAGCGATGATGAGGATAATACAAAAATAAATGCAAATGATTCAGACGAAGATTTCAACGTTAGTAGATACTTAAATTTCAATGTAGATTCTACAGAACCTTCTATTAGGTAAGTAAAAAGTACTTAATTATTAATAAATGATGTAGTCTATATTAACAGAATATTAATAATAGAGAAAAATTATTAATAATAATGTAGAAAAAGGCTAAGAAAACGAAAACGAGATGATGTCAATCAAGATGGATCTGAAGAAAATAGCGAAGATGGACACGCTGCTAAAGCCACCGAAAATATTACAAAGTCTTCTACCAATGAAAATCGTTCAAATGATCTAGATGCAATTACTATAAGTGATGAAGAAGAAAATAGAAGTGGCAGACGCGAACCAAGTAGATTTGATCCAACAGTGGAACCAACGCAAATAGAAAGACCTAAATTTAAATCAGTAAGAGATTTCTTTGGAGAAGATGAGGCTGTTTATATAATGGATGCTAAAACAACTGGAAATATTGGACGTTACTTAAACGTAAGATATATTTTAATTGAAACTTTTACATGACTAGAATACTTCAAAACAGAATTTGGTATTGTTATTTCTATTATCAACATTATATTTGAATTATAATTATTGGTCATTTTTCAGCATTCATGTGATCCAAACGTTTTTGTGCAAAATGTATTTGTAGACACACATGATGTAAGATTTCCATGGGTGGCATTCTTTGCTTTAAATTACATAAGAGCAGGTCAGGAATTAACATGGAATTACAGTTATGATGTTGGAAGTATACCAGGTAAAGTCATCATCTGTAAATGTGGTGCATCTAATTGTAGAGGTCGACTTCTCTAATATGTGACATACTTTATATAAAATTAATAAAATTTGATTAATAAACGTGATTTAGATTTCCCTTTTTTTTAAATAATATGATTTGTTATTATAAGTTGTATGAAATGCGCAACAAAGTATTTTGCTCATCATTAAAAAGATGTCATTTTTAAGTGGTTTAATAATATTTTTATTTTATATTTATATTGTATTTATTGAAATATTAGAAGTTAGTGTACAAAATAAAATAAATGCAGAAAATTTAAAAATCAACTGCACTATATTTTACAAACATAATGTTTTGTCTTAAAATATTTAATATGTTAATAGTGCATTTTATATATAGATATGATATGAAAAAAATAAGATATTAGCAAAAATATATATTTCATAACTATAATAGATACAATTTGTATTTTTAACAATTGACATTTGACAAATAAATTTTGGTATATAAAACGTTTTAATATATATATTATTTATATTTTATTTTCTGCTAATATATGTTATATTAATATACTGTAAGCAATAATATGTTGAGTAATAAATAAATGATAAATACAGGTTTAATAAAATACAATGATATACATAACAATGATGCACTGGTTTATTATTTTTGATTATTATACACCTTTAAAACTTCTTAAGACATGTTAGATAGTTAGTACCATAAAGATAGCTCTTTAATTTTCTTTTCTATAATTTATACATATCATTCTTGAAACTGAATTAAATTATGTAGTATCTTAATTCAAGCATTCAAATATTTCAATATATACTATAACCTTTTGTCACAAAAAGCTGTTTTAGTTAGTAGGTAGTTGTAAAAAAATGTATAAAAGAAATTTGTAATATTTGTAAATTAATAACAAATATTTAAAACACGATGCTGCTTCTTATAAATGTATCAAAATATCTCTTGCTATATAATGTTACATGCTTTAAAAATAAATTTGTTTCTATTGTTAGTTTGCAAAACAATCTGTATGATATAATATTTTAAAGCTGAAACTATATATAGTTTAAATCTCTAAGAGTAACCATATAAAAGAATATGAGTTCATGATTATATGCTCCAGATGTGCAATATATTATTATAAAACTACATGTGTGTACCTATATGTTTTTGTTTTTTAATTTAAAGTGTATAAATATGATAGCCTAGTCATATGCAGAAAATCAAGACAAAGCAATGATGATACTCCTATGAGGAACATTAAAATACTAAAATAACAAAATTATTGCTTCATGATTTGTTTGGCTTTGTGCTAGTGGAATTTAAGCAATTCTTTGATCTCATCCTTTTCAGCAGCATCTAAATAATTTGTTCCATTTGGTGTCAATCCATCTGCTCTAGCTCCTTTTTCTAATAGTAATTTTACACAATTTGTATGTCCTTCCCAAATTGCTGCTAATAATGCTGTTATTCCATGTTTATCTGTTACCTGTAAGTAAATACATTTTGCTTAAATCATTGTAATACGATTCATTTTTAGTATAATTTCTCTAATGTTCATCTCTTATATTTCAAGTAAAACTAATAAAATATTATGTACAATGCTTAGTGAAAAGAAAGATAAATAAATTTTGAATATTTTCATGTTTCAATCTCACGCATATTATCTAATATTTATATATATTTACATTTGCATTTGCACCCTTTTCCAAAAGATATCTGACTACTTCACTTTGGCCATAATCAGCTGCATAATGTAGGGGTGTCCTTCCATCAATCATTTGATTGACATCAATATTCTACCAACAGGAATATATTTAGACAATTTAATATATGTTCACTTGTAAAAAAAAGTGTATAACTAATTTGAAAAGGAAATATGAATGATCTTTACAACTATTAGTTTAATCGGGTAATTAGTATTTTTTTATATGTTTTGAACTATATAAAATTCTATGAATTCTATATTAAACATCATAAAGCGATATCTTTTTATGACGTTTCTGAGTAGCGGCAATCAAAAAGCAATAGAAGAAAAAGATGATTTAACGTTTCATATATTTGCCTTTTTCTCAACGATATCCCGCACTTGCTCCAAATCACCATTTTTTATTCCCCACACGAGTTCACTCATTTTCGTTGTAAGCTATTAGAAAAATTTTATATATCACACAGCCTCTCAAATTTCTACGTTTATTCTAATCAGTTCACGTTCGTACTCACTCAAGTCTCACGTCCATTAAATTTGGTTAAACAGCGAATTTCGCTGGAACAATCTTTCCAGGCTGCCAACATATATAATAATAAAATGAAATCTTCTAAGATACCAACATTAAAGATAGCGTACTAAAGTCAGATAAAATGAACGATTTTCTGTTCCAATTAAATAACCAATGCTTATTTTATAACTACAATTCTATATGGTGATATTAAAAACAAGTAATGAACTATACTGTTTAGTTTTCAATTTGTGTCTATATTCAAAGTTCTCTCCAACTATGTATAGAAATAATGATAATAACAAGGTAGAAATTTTTTAATTTCTCAGTATTGCAAAAGTTATGCCTCTTTGTGTTTAATGTAAGTACAGTAATTTAGCGTATATAATTTAAAATTTATTTATTACAGCTGCTTTTTCATATTTCTTTAATTAAAATTCTATTAGTTATGTTTATAGAACAATTACAAGATCAACTTAAATACTATTTATTCTTCCCGGATATAATGATAATAAGATAAAGATTTCCCAAACACTTGGTAAAACAATTTTTTTCTTAAAAAATTTAAAAATCAAACAAATATTATGCACATTAATTTATACTAGGAAAGTAGTTACGGTATATTGTATTCATTATTGTCGGAAGTACGGGATAAAAAGTACACAGTGTATGTAGTATTGAATTAAATAAGTATTAATTTAATCACATATAATTACAGTCACACATGTTTTTACATTACATACGCAAGACTTTCTACTTTTGGAGAAAAAGAAAGAATTAATTTCCTATGTGACAATTATTGTTTGGAGAAGGGAATAACAAAACGGCTATAGGAGCATCTAAGTCTCGACTTCCAGGACTAGGAGACTGAAGAAACTCAATATTTTCGAACAGATTCCGAAACACTGATATTACTTGTACACCATCGTTTATCAATGATAATGTTAACAATACGCTTACTTTTATCTAAGCTATGTATGTTTTGCTATTTTTTGATAAGTTCTTCGAGTTAACTCCTGAATTATATACAGTATATAATTTTAGTCTCGCATTAAGTTAAGTCGAATTGCGTTGAAGGGTAACAGGATGTTGCAGTAAACCGCCTTCTCGTGATGAAACAACGGGTATCGATGCGCGACGTTAAAAGTAATACATATTCTTTTTGCTTTAAGTAAAGACGTTACCGTTCTTTTCGACAAAAAATCTCAACTAAAATTATTTTTTCCTGTTTCAGTTATTAAAAACAGTTATCTCAGAATACGATAACAGATCTTCGACTTCTACCTTTTAATCGACCGTTCAATTTATTGTAGTTTACAAAAGTCACGACCTGCATTTTTTTCGTTTCTTTGAAATTTTTTTTAAATTAAAAATTTAAGCCTTCGCCGGAGTCGCTTCCGGAGTTTTCTCGGTCTCTACGATTTCCGTGGGTGGAGGCAAAGTCGGAATTTCCGGATATTCGAGTTTCGCTCCTTCTTCGCATTCGAAAATGGGACAGCAGTCTGGGAACGTGGCAGTCTTGTTAGTTTTGTCTGACAGTTTGCATTTCGGGTTAGCCTTCGGCAGCGGTCCACAGTCTTCAACGAGTTCGAAGAGGCGACCAGAGTTATCGTCGGCTGGCACGCAAGTGGAACGGCCGCAGAATGGTGTCAAATCCCAGGATTTCGTTGGTTCGATGGTAGCGCATCTTGTTGAGGCGAAGCACATACCGGGGAAATCTAAAAAAAAAAAGAGTTAGATGGAACTATATAATTTATATCACAAAATTAATCTTTGGCAGTAAGAAATTAAAGTTTCGAATTTGATAATTCTTATCAAAATGTTATTATAACATCCGTATAAAATTTGTGCATAAAATTAAATTCTTTCTAATTCTCTATAGTTTCTTATAATGTTATATCATAAGTAATTGAACGAGTAATCGAATATCGTAACAACTAGACAATCGCTAATATTTTTACGGAATACAAGTTTCTGAATTACATAAAATATATTACATAAAGAAGATATCGGATTGATATGTTGTATTAACTAGAACACTAGATTTGATTACGTAACGGTACAGTCTTTTATGCAATAAAACGTAGCAAATGGTAGCCTTTCTTTGTGGAGAAAGGAATCCATATCGTTTAATTTACTAGGAATAACCGGAATCTTCTACCCGGAAGGTATTGCGTATCTAGAACTGGATTTTTTAGCAAGTAAAAAAACAAGAAGCGATTAATCGTGGTCTATAGTAAATATCCTTATCAAATATCAAATTATTTCTGCGATTACTAAAAAAAAAAAAATTAGAAGAAAAAAATATACATGGCATTCAACATGGTTTTTTTTAAAAAGGAGCAAATCCATATAATTGCAGTAAAAAATTTTTTATATTTATTATATTTATATAATTTCTTCAAGATGTTTTGAATTCCAAATGAATCGTCAGCGGATTTTCACCAACTGTGACGTAAAAGTAAAATCTCATTCTATAAGAGCAACGACTTGTACAGGTTGTGATTCTTCGACAGAATGCATCGGTACCGCGCACGATGCGTGGACGTGCTGCATTATCTGATTACACGCACACCTGTGAAAGGTTTCATTACTTTCTAACATTAAGCCATTTTTAACGTCTCGTCGCGCCTTCTAAGTTTATACAGACACACACACGCACGGTATTCTATTATAATGCGTCTCGATCGATCGTAGATAGATGACAGAGGAGTTTCATTGGTGCCGATCGGGCTAGAAACTTCAAGGAGAAATACTTTCACTGTCACGCCGTGTTACCACTTGTGTAATTATCGCAAACTCTGACTAAGCCAATTGCCATACTTTTTTACTTCTTTCTTTTTTCTATTATAGAGTTCCCTGGATTTAACAAGGAAAGTGAATCGCTTGAAATGATTAGAAGATGATTGAATAGAAAGCTTTTATCGCTTGGCAAGATAACGTAATACATCGAGAACTTTAACATAATGTACAAGTTGAAAAATTAAGATAAAAATTGTTTAAAACAATTAAAAAATTACTGAAGTATCTGTCACTTAGGGGGTAAAGTATAACTCGTTCTTCACGTATTTGTGCATTGATATTTGTGTATTTCAGATCTATAGAAGGGACGATAATGGCAGAAATAAAAGAAAACTTTATTCGAAAAAATTATTCAAAAGCTATTTAGCGTTCTTTCCTTCTTAACGACTCGACTTTTTAAACATTACGCAATATGAATGTCTAATTAATTATGAAAGGAAGACGCAATGTCTAAAAAAATAACAAGTATGTCGCTCAAACATGAGTCGCTTGTTACCTTCTAGGAATAAGATTTATTTGAATAATGACGTGTCTGTTACCGTTTTCTCAATGCCAGTTTCGATACGTCGAAGGCATAAAACGATGGGCGTTTACGCCAACGCTAAAAGTGCCGTGGTATACGACACCAGTTCTTGCGAGTCACCTGGATCATAAGAAAGTGATTCGGGAGCCTTTATTCTAAATGATCGGATGTTCAATGGAATGAAATCGAGGAACATTTTGACTCGATATCGATGAGATACAGATACAAGGTTTTTTCTTCTAATACTTTTAAACACCATAATCCATCTTTCATGCAAACTTCATACAGGGAATTAGGTGCTTAGTAAAATTATAATCATATAATAAAGCTCATAATTTCCAATTCATCGTAATGACATATCATTGATTTATTTGAAAGTAAAGCTAAATATAAAATTTAATTCTTAATAATCCAATTGATGGGCGATAACCAATATGGAATCCAGAATCATCGTTGCAACGTGAATTTCAAATTCCGTATACATGTATACAACTGCAAACAGTACAATTGTTGCGAAAATAAAGTGAGTATGTGAGCAGTTTCACTTTCCTTTCTATATGGAACATACGTGATCTTAAAAAATGTTATTGAATGTGATTTACGCTAATTAATAGGAGGATTGCAGATTCGAAGGAAAGAGAAGCGTGCTATTCATACGCTAACCGAGAAAAGTAACTCGAAAAGAGAAAGGGATGATGAAGTCGACTTCATGGTTTGCCGTGCAATTTTGTTAATAACATTGTAAAATTGCTGGCTACGGAAAAACTTTAATCTGACGCCATTCACATGGTAAAAGGCAACAATTTCGACCGGTAAATTGGTAAAAATCGTAGACTTTTTATCACCATCACTGAGTTGAATGTATTGATCTGGAAGGAGTTATAACATACAAACACGGTGCAAATTAATTTGTAATTTTCATGGAAAGAGCTCTGGCCTCGTCACTTCTAAAGCGAGCCATTTAAGGAAGAGGTATAAAGAATGATTTATAGTGGACATTCTTAGACTTTCACCGACATTAAAGATTCATCTGTCTGCAAGGGTCGACTTTCATGCTCGTAGGAGTAACGTTACGTTCACTCACTTTGTTTTTTTCGTCGCGGTTGGCTACGTTTCCGTCTGTTAACGCTTTTCATGGCTCGTGGATCATCAGTGACCCATGATATTCCAGATAGAAATAGAACTTTCATTGAACGGACAAATATGTTCTTCGTTATACTCAAGTAACATAGATGAGCGAAAAGATCAACGTACCAGATGTATTAAAATGTTTACTTAGAGAACCTTACATGGTGTGTATAGTTAGAGAAAACTAATGATATGAAACGTGTTAAGATCTAACTAATTAAGTATTTGTCATCTTGAAATGAAATTACTTAACAATTTTACTTAATAATTATTTAAATCTAAGCACGTTTTATTGTGCTCATAATGTAGTATTCTCGCATATATTAGTTTATAATAGTATATAACATAATAGCTTGTCAATTTCAATAACGCTAATTAAGTAGGAACATGAGATAGATATAATCATAGCTCCTGTCGCTTGGCTGTCCGATCAATAAATCTGCGATCCGACATTTCAATAAACACGCGATATTCTCGAGAAATAACACGTTATCTATTGTATGGTTAATCAATGATGCATGTCGCGTTTAGAAAATTAGTCACTCGTCACAGGCCACGATCACGAATTGCACATCGAGAGAATAATCGAAGGGTAACGATCTCCTGGTTGGAAAGTCGCGAAGCTAAGGGGAACAACAGAGTGCAATCAGCCTCTTTCTTACGAATTTTCATTCTGGCCCCGCTTTCGTCGCCGATGACCCAACCCAAGACCTACTTTCTGTAATCATCCTGTTTCAAAACGGGTACACTCGAACCAATGTTCGTGACTGTGTAAAACTTAACTTCAATGGGAACACGCTCACCTGCACTTAAATAGACATTACTTCTCGTTTTTTATATTTCGATGTATTCATTTTTTCATGCATAATAATATTTAATACGTGCATAAGTTTTGTAAAGCAATTTATAAAACTTTGTAAAGACTCTCCTGTTCACGAAAAGTACAATATTTATTGTATCGCGTGTTTCAAAAAATTCATAAAGTAATGGTAAAAATGTATCTCATATTTGTCTTATCTTTTTTTACAGATTACAAATTTTCGTTCGCATTATTTTCGTGTCACTCTGTATACCTATTGGCAGAAGAATGTGATTATGGAACGGAGTAAACAATCGTCTAGCTGTCTTCTACTGAAAATTTCATAATTTTACCTAATTTCATTATCTTTGTTTTGATAGGATTGAATAAAATAAATGTTCTCAATGCGTAAATGACGTTCAAGACATCGTACATAAACGTACCTACGACGACACCATGTTCAGCATTCGCCGCTAGCAACTCATCAGCAATTCGATTATTCATCGGAATCTAGGTCTGGAGCGAAAAATACGGAGTAACCAGGCCACAGTCTGTGAATCAGCAAGACGCTATCTCCAGATTGTTCTTAGATCCTTTTCAACGATCTCTAATTATAGATTATTGGAACGATCAACAAACGAGGAGAATCAAGGACTATGTTCTGCATCGTTAACGATTACCGTCGATAAATGGTCCAGACTCATGACTTCACGGAAGATTTCTGTGTGATAAAAGTCGCTAACTTGCTTCCTATTCGATTTGTATGGATACTGTGTTCTTGAAACGTCGTTGTGTTTATGTATGTCTTATGTTTGCCTAGCTATACGCTACTAATGTTTTTACCTTTGAAGAATTACAATTTGCACCTCATGGACTCGATACGCGAAAAACTGACTTTGCTGCGGTAAATAGAATGACACTTAATTATAAAAAGATAACATTATTCTAATAAGAGATTAAAAAGTGGAAAGTAGTTTTTGTAGAAGGTATCTTACGGTGAACGGTAGGCGAAGTCGAAGCTTATCCGAACACGTACATCCCATATAAAGAAAAGGCTGGAGGGCAGGTTGCGGGATCGATCGAAGAAGAAGAAACGAGTCTTCGCAGTACGAAGACTTTCACGCGATGATGGTCTTGTTATTGTTTCCTATTCTTCTGTTCGTGTAAGTACGTTATTCACCTAAATTGTCACATAACTGTGGATCTACAAACCTATGAAAACGCTTATCTTCTCGATCTATCTTTTTCTTATTTTTTTAAACGAGGGAAAACATACATCTATCCGCCTTTGTTTGTACTGTTGCAAACATGTCACGACATGGTGAATAATGCGAGAGGACAAGATGGTAACGACAATGGTAGGGTGAAAAGAGCGTGGTTTCAAGGACCTGATTCCTCTATCGCGAATGGAAAGTCGAAGAAGCAGGAATTGTCAAATGAAACTGTGATTTATGCCCATTTCTGCAAACTCGTTGGTATGGTCGCTTCATTTGCAATTCTGGGAATGGTTTTCAAGTCGAACGACTGACGATCCGAGGCAAAGGATGGAGAAAATGTCGAACAATTAACAAGATACGTTTACGCGGTTTTCGATTTTCTCTGCTGATCAGTTTGCTCTTCAAAAGTAATACCGATTTTTAGGCATACGTTATGAATGTGTGTGTGTTTTTTAAAGTATTTTCTAAGTGATTTCAGTTTTGGCAAAATGATAAAAATCGTTCTACTTTCGTGTCACGTATGTACCGGGTCACGTCTGCCGTTTCAAAGAACCGCCACACCGTCATCCTGACATACGTTTCTAGGTAAGAATAATGTTTGTGGTTGCACGATTGGATGTTGTTAATGCAAAGGAAAAAGGGGAAAAGAATTTATTCGAGTAAAATCGATTGATTTGACAAAATTATCGTGGATAGTATTCTTTTTCTACAATTTTTATTAAAATTGTAACGGCAAACATGTAATAGTTTTGGTATACTTTAGATTCTAAACTACTTTAAATTGTGACGTTTCGTAAAAAATGTTTTACCTTCACAGTATGGCGCAGCTTGCTGTAGTTTTGGAACAACAGATATACAGAAATATGTTATGTTTCATGAGATTCGTTATAAAAAATTCTACCTACATTGCTTAATCACCATTTAAATATTTTTAAAAGTTTTAGAACTATCTTTCAGTATCTGGCATAGATTAATTAGCTTCGTTAGAATTGGCGACCAAATCCATTTACCAGGCTTTCCTAAACGCCTGACAAAAAACATTAGACATTGGTACCACGATATTATTTCATATTTCTATGTGCGCGAGAGAGATCTAGATATACATATTGCAAGGAACTACATAAACCTTTCAAATTCCAGAAACGTTCATGAAGAAAGAAAGAAAAATAGCCCTCAGAAAAATAGAACTCACCGCGAAGAACGTCAGCAGGTATGAGTCTTCTAAACGTTTTAGGACGTTCTTCCTCCTTCTTCTCCTCGGCGGCGAAAACGATCGCTGCGACAAGCAACAGGACCGGGACGAGCTTCATGATCTCGACGATGACACGGACAGAGAGAGAGGAAGGAGAGATCAGACCCAGCGTACCTCTGAAGAGGAAAGGAAAAAAAGGATCTTCGTGTACTCTGATTAAGACTGGTTGGGTCCGATTCTCGTGCCGGCATTTTATAGCTGTTCATGGGGCGGGGTCCTGTCGTCCCCACCAAACATTTATAGTCTCTCACCTCTTGAACCACCAGTCACCAAAGAATCGTTCGCGTCCCCCGATGCTCGATCGTGTGAGCTCCTCGTTCCTTGACGACGGACGCGCATGTATACACCTAATCGGTACATGAAGTGTACGATAATATACATATATAGTTTGCTCTCACACCATCGAAATATGTAAATCGAATCAAATCCACAACCAATGTATTCCACTTGAGAGCGATACATATGACAAAGTGGGTTACCATTTGGTTTACGGATCTTTCATCCTTTTTTTCCTCGTTTCCTCTTTGATTTTGTTATACCAAGTTTCTTGGGCCGCTATTTTTATTCATTCATTAGTGGTGATCAAAGAATCCTTGATTCGATTAATTAGGAGAGAGTCCCAAAAGTATTCGTGATCTCTTAATTAGTGCATCTATACGATTGATATCTCCATAGGAGAATAAAGATTTAATAAAGATACGCGCTATATTAGTTAAGTCTTTCACTGGCATAAATATTATGAAGAAATAACGATGTAATATATTAAGAATAATTAGTTTAACGAACGTTACTAAAAGTTGGAAGAATACATCTGTAACCAATTGTACTTTCAACAGATCGTCGATAGCTAATGTATTAATTAGCGCTCTATGGATATTTGATTCAAGTTTTCTATCGTAATTTTAGCATAAGGTACAAATCGAAGTAAAAGTTTATATGAATCCAAATTCGTGACAAAGTATATTATATTCAGTTCAGTGAGCATCAATTTTACAACGTCGAACAAAGGGGACTAACAACTTGTTCGTGATCGGGTCACGTGTCGCGAAATCGTCATTGTATTCGAGGAAAAGAGGCTGGGGCTAACCCGTTCTCCTTTCGTTCGCCGGTTTCGTCGTTCTACCACGCACGATGCGCTCTCTTAGAGGCTGAAACAGTCGAATCTTTCACAAAACATCGCTTACCACATCACGAGTTTGCCATTATAAAAACTTGTAAAAGCGTATCGCATATACTTACTCGATGGTAATTGCCAAGCGATTAGGATGCACGCGTGCCCGTTTCGTAGGGTTGATGCAGAAATTTCGACGGCGATGTTTCGTGTCTGTTAAACTATATTCTTTTTAACCAACTTTCGCTGTTTCATTACAGTATCTTGTGGCCAATTAAAGAAGCGGCGTTCTCTCGAGAGCACTACTGTCGCGTAAGAAAACAATAATAACGGGCCATAGAGAGTTTCTTCCGGGCCATTTGAGCCAACAAGTAGGAAGCTAATCGGGTCTAGGTACCTTATGGTTAATAGCGTTTACGTAACAAGCGTACGCAATATAGAAATTACGATCGAACTTTAAAAAAATGGAGCTGATAATACCGTTTCTTTAACGTTCGCCAGTTACCACGAACCTGCTCGGTGTACGATAAATTTATTAACCGCGCAATCGCGTTTTATCATTCTGTTATGCATAATTAACAAGCTGAAATTATGAAAAGTGATCGCAAAGTAAAATCGCGCGATATCACGGAGGAAAGTAAAGAAGAAAGGGAAAGTTGCCTAGTGGCATCGTTCTTCCGAGTGAAGAGACTGTAACCTTCTGAATCACCGATCTCGGAACAAGTTCGTGGTATTTCAAGCGTTAGAGATCCTGTCTTATACCATGAATGTCATTTCTGTAAACAGGTACGTGTTCAGACTTATATCGAAATACACGACGTTCAACCATTCCTTGAGAATAATTTTTGATGATGTTGATATTATAAATAACATTACAGGGATTCCACGAGGTTGTTCTAACATACGTTTGACGAATTATTAACTTCTACGCTATCATGGATCCCTAACGACGGTGAGGCAAGGAACAAAGGAACAGGTATATGCCAGGAAGAAGAGTGAAATTTTTGCTCATTTGCTAGAACAATTTAATAATGTCATTCGTACAATTTCGATTCGCATTTACTAAACTGGTGTCTCTAATCATCTCCTTTGCTTCTGCTCTATTCTAGAATATACTCTGCTTGAAGATGTTGAACCTCTTCTGCGGAAATGTTCCTGTATTGCCGTCCTTAGCTAGATCTCCTCGAGTACCTCGTCCCTACTTACTTCACTGACCATTCTTCGGTGTTTTCCTTCTTCAATGGGGAAAGACGTGCCAACGGAGGTAACTTAAGCTCTCCTGCCCATGCACCAGCTTCGGCGGATGCCTCTGAAGTCGCCGCAGCGGCAGATGCAGAAGCTTGTGCTTCCGCAGCAGCGGAGGCGGCTGCTTGTGCTACACCAGCGGCGCTTTCCGCTTGTGCCGAGGCTTCTGCTTCCGCCTCAGCAATGGCGTTCACTGCGGTCGCACGAGCTGCGGCTGCGTCTGCGACTGCTCTGGCTTTTGCGGCCGCAACGGCGGCAGCTGCTGCATCTGCTTCCGTTTTCACCGCAATTTCGGCAACTTTAAGGGCGAGTTGTGTTGCCTTGGCAGCAGCGGCGGCTTTAGCCTGGGCTTCGGCGGCGGCTGCAGCCTCAGCTTGCGCTAGCTCGTTCGATTTTTCCGCTTGGAGAGCAGCACGGGCATTCGCAGCAGCGGCGGTCGATGCGAGCGTTTCCGCCTTTCCGGAGGCAGCCCTGGCCGAGGCCACGGCCGATTCAGCTTCCTCAGCAGCCTCTGCGGCCTCTAAGCTAGCCTTCGTCGCGATTGCTGCGGCGGC